CCAGCATGGTGCAGTAGTTTGAGTGCTGGAATATGACTCTGGAGACCAGATTTCGAATCCTCGGTCAGCCATGGAAATCTACTGGGTAACCTGGCCAAGTCACACTCTCTCACAGAGAGGCAAAGACAAGCCCCTTCTGAATTTTTTTTGCCTAGAATTGCACTGGGATAGGTTCTCCTTTGGGTCACTGTAAGTCAGAAACAACTTAAACACACACCTCAACAACGCTAACTTTGGACCTGTCACCCAAAGAACAGGTGGACGGGAGGTCCCTGCCAACTTTCAGCAATACTTCAAATGTTGGGGAAACTAGCTTTGCAAGAGGCTTTTGGACTGGGGAGTACCAATATATACCTGTACTTACTGGGAGGAATCCAGATTCTTTTGAATTAAGGAATCTTTATTTAGAAAATGTGCAGAGTACAAATGCACACCCAAGATAGCAATTCAGACACATACAGAGCTAACTGAAATGGAAATATGGGAAGGGGATAGTGGAGTTTTAGGGCTTGCAGTGGGGTTTTACCTATCTGAAGAGAAGATGACGGAAGGCTGGAGTGACTCAGACTGGGAGGTCTGAAGGTGACACAGAACATACACAGAATGCGGATGTGTGTGTGGGCTGGACTGTGTACACAATGGCTAAGTTTTGAGGACATATTTATACCTTAAAACTTCCCTGTGGCAATGGGCTATCTAGCCAGGTAACAAAGAGTTAATGGCTTATCCTAAGAATTGACAATGGAATTCCCGGTTGGTTGATGGATTTTGCAAAAGCAATTATTGGATAGAACCAGCCCTGAGATAGGTAGGTGAAGAGGTTTGGCTGGGAGGGTAGGCAGAGAAGATAGGCAGAGAGATTGGCTTACTGCTTTAGATGCAAAGAGATCCTTTGTCTCAGGTTTGGAGAGGAAATGCTGACTATTTTGGGGAAGGATGAAGCACTTTAGATTTTTATGGTTTTGTTTACTTGGAAGTACTCAACGCCTGTGTGGGCCAGCGTGGTATAGTGGTTTGAGTGCCAGATTATGACTCTAGAGACTAGGGTTCGATTCCTAGCTTGGCCATGTAACCTACTAGGTGACCTTGGGCAAGTCACATGCTCTCAGCCTCTGACGTGGAAATGGGGTGCCTGGATGCATCAGATTCAGTGGTGAGGGCCTTCCTAATAGGATCAACAGCTCAAATTGACGCATTTAGATGGCTTTTTACCCCAGGCTCAGGGGTAACCAGGGCAGCAACAGCAGGACCAGGACATACCCATGTCCAGTCTACCAGGATCCAACCCAATCCTGACCCCAGGGTTTTGGCTTGTGTTATTGAAACAGGATGATGCGAGGCTGGGGGCTGAGGACACAGGCCTTTTGGCTCATGTGGACGAACCCCATGTCTCCCTGGGGAGGGCATTTCAAAGGCTAAGAGCAGCCACCACAAAGGTTTCCAGATCATAGCTCTCATTTCTTATTTCTTGCTTGAAACATGAGCAGATGCTGAAATGTGACACACTGAAATGAAGGCATCTAATCACCGTACCTTGCTTACTTTGTTCAAACATTGTCGTCCCAGGGTGATTTCTATGCATTATGTAAAGGCTGCAGCTGTGCAAAACCAGCTCACCACATAGTCACTGATCATAGTGAGCCTTGAACAGCTGGGGAGCCTGCTATTTACACTGCCTCAAGAACCAACGAAAACACTAAAAGCATGGGCCAGAGAGCTCCTATTTCTGGTTCCAGACATATAATCATATTTTTTCCCCTGGGTACTCAACTCAGTACACTTTACTTTGTCCTTAGAGCAACCCTCTGAGGTAGATGAGCCTGAGAGAGTGTGACTGGCCCAGGATCACCCTGTGAATTTAATGGCTCAGTGAGGACTAGAGAACTTGAACTTATCAAGTCCCAGCATCGGTCCCACAGCAAGACATCTCAGGACGCAAACATAAAAAATAAAATCTGCCACCCAGTGTTCCTCCTAGTTTATAATTGTGCTTCCTTTCTTTGGCCAGATTTAAGGTGTCTCTCAGGGGGGTTGCAGACTGCCAGAAAAAGTGCAAATTCAGTCCACTTTTAGGGTTAGGGTTAGGGTTAGGGAATCATGGGAACTGTATTTTATTGTGGCACTAGAGCTCTCTGACAGAGAATGCTCAATGTCTCAGAAAAAAAACAATTCCCATGATTCCCTAGCTCTAACCCTAACCCTAAAAGTGGACTGAATTTGCACTATTTCTGACAGTCTGCATAGTCTCTCACTCTCTTTGGCACTGGAGGTTAGTGGGAGATGGTTCTTTAAAAGAACAAGGCATTCAGAGTCCATCACAGAGACTCTCCATTAGATGTTATTTATCCCCTTGGCTTGTTCCAGAAATTGAGGCAGCCCCAAACATCTTACAAGAAAAAAACTATGACAGAATATGCTTATGTTGAGCCAGATCACTTCCATCAGAAGCTTAGATACTAGATGTCTAAATATTCACTTGTATGTGTGTGTTGTGCACCTTGTTGTGCACCTTCGTTTCTGGCATACGGTGACCCTATCATGGGGTTTTCCCAGCAAGATTTGTTCAGAGGAGCTTTGCCTTTGCCTTCCCCTGAAGCTGAGAGAGTGTGACTTTTCCACTGGGTTTCATGGCCGAACTGGGAACTGAATGCTGGTCACAGTCCAACACTCAAACCATTACACCACACAAATACCCACTTGTATTTCTTTTTTTAATTAGGAAAAAGAAAACCATGCTTGGCTCGTTCCTCCTTAGCATGTAAAGGAGAAAGCTAGGCCACTATTGAAAACATAATTATGGTCATACTGGATCATATTAGAGGCTTCATGATGATGCAGTATTGTGTTCATTCAGGTGACCAAGTAGAGGTCACAGGTGGGATATGAGCTCCAGTACTCTGCAAATAATAGGTAGTCATAACAATTCATAGCCATTGATAACCCCATTAATTTGTCAAATCTCCATTTAAAAGTATCCAGACTGGTAGGGTGTATATTCAATGGTAGGGTGTTCCATCCATCCTTCCACCCATCTCTTTGTTTATATCCCGCCTTATACTGGGACTTTTAGTTTAACTGTTTACAGTTGCCCCTCTGTTCTTGCGGACTTGAGGTCCGTGGTTTTGCATATTTACGGACGGGCGATCTCCATTAAAATCAATGGTGTGCGGCCCATTCAAGCCTATGGTTAATGTTTATCTTTTTTGAATCTCTTACTATTCACCCTCAGTCATTGACCCTAGATCTTGGCTTCAAGTGCTATTGTTATTTTGATATGATAACTTTGTGTACTTGTGGATGTCGATAATTATTTTAATGATAGAAGTCTAATTGGCAAAAGCAGGACTTTAAAAAAATGCCCTAGTTTTTCTTTGGGAAATGGAAGGGAAAAGATAAGCAGAGGTTGTGACTATTTTTCCTGCTGATTCAGGACACCAGGAGTGAAGAATATGTGGATGGAAGAAACAAAAGGAAGCTGAATCTTTTGTGATATGCCTTCGGTTATTTTCCATTTGTTTTTGGGATTAAATGCTGTGCAGCACGAAGGATGTGATGTCTATGAAATGTGACAAGCTTGTGACATTGACAAAAATGTCTTTGCGTTTTGGGCCCAGGGCTTTGAACAACGGAGCAAGAAAACATCTGTTCTGTGTTGCCGACTGCAAAGGTGTTTATTCCTTCATTATTCTGGGCATTTGAGCAGAAATACAATGAAGCAAAGGCCTGTAGATTTTTGTTTCATTTTATTTTTTATCTCAGTGCTATTCATTTGGTGGTGAGTAGGATGGGAGGTGCTACTGCTGAGTTAATTCATGATTAAGGATGCTTCTACACTATGGAAATAATGCAATTTGACACTCCTTAACTGCCATGGCTCCATTCTACAGAATCCTGGATTTGTAGTTTTGTGTAGCACCAGTATTCTTGGGCAGGGAGACTTCAGCCAGGGGCTGAAGACCTTGTAAAACTACAAATCTCAGGATTCCATAGGATGGAACTGCAGTGCTTAAAGTGGTATCAAATTGCTTTATTTCTACTGTGCGCCCTAAAACTGAGATGTTGCCTAATTTACACAGGAATTTCTACAGCCCCCAAATGTTGTGATTTGTCTTGGTTGGATTTATCCTGTCTTTCTTGTTACAACTGTTGGCAGAGGAGAGAGCAAAGTTTGGAAATAAGGTAGTACAAGTAGCAATGTTAATGTTAACGTGAATTTTTGGCCTAATGAGGATATATGCATGTTATTTTTTTTTAATAGCACAATTAATTGTAATGTGGTTTTAATGTAACATGCTTTTAATGTGATGAATTATGTTTACTCATTACTCCTAAAACATTGCCTTTGGAAGTGGAGATCATTTGGATTATTTTTACTCCATTTTTGTTTTTTTTTGGGGGGGGTTGTATATATGTTTTTTTTTAAAGTACCGGTAACAACATTTATATGTGTGGAAAGTGCTACTCTTTAACCAATGAGTACAGGTCACATTTATAAAAAAATAGTAATTAATAATTTATTAAAAACAGTGTCCCGAGTGAGGGTTAGACCCACTTTCAGATGGTGGCTTCCATGTCAAAGAATTCACTCTAGGTTTTGGTCTGAACTGTAAAAGAACTGTCTAAAGCAGGGGTAGGCAACCTTTTTGAGCCGGGGGCCGGGTTACTGTCCCTCAGACAATTGGGGGGCCGAAGCACCCAAAATAAATAAATAAATAAATAAATAAAAATGTAAAAAAATAAAAAATAATGCATGCACACTCTCTCAACCCAGAAAAGCCATGGCAAACCCCCTGTAGAGATTTTGCCAAGAAAACCACAAGAACAAGTAATAACAACAATAATCAATAGCATCATGGCGGGGGGGGCGGCAGCGGCAGCAGGACTGGCCTGGGGCCGGTCTAAAGGCCTTGGGGGGCCGCATCCGGCCCCTGGGCCTTAGGTTGCCTACCCCCAGTCTAAAGGGTCAAACCTAGTTTGGGCTTAGGTCTCAGCACTCTTTAGCAGCACCTTTACAGATTAGTCTAAAAGCCAGAGCAAATTCATTGCTCCATAGACATGGAAGCTATCATTCACCACCACTGGTTAGATTAGAACATGGAGCGAGGAAAGAAAAGGATCCACTAAAGTTGTGTACATACTTGGTTACCAGTTGTAATCAAAATTAGAGAGTTACGTTGAATTGATGGACAAAGCAAAGCCAGGAATTTTCAGGTCTCCCTCTTGCTTTGGTCTTATAATTTTTAATTAACCAATTGATGCATACATACAGAGAAAAATAGTAAACCAAGGAGTACAGTGGGGTTTGGTTCCAGGACCGCCTTTGGATATCAAAATCCGTGGATGTTCAAGTCCCATGGACAATAAAATGGCGTCTCTTATATCAAATGGCAAAAATCAAGGTTTGCTTTTTGTAATTTATTTTTTGGTTTAAATATTTTCAAATCGTGGATGCTTAAATCCGTAGATAAAAAAATCTGAGGATATGGAGGGCCGACTATTTTAAAACATCAGCCTTCCACAATAACAATTTTTCATATTGTCAAACTGAACTTTATTATTTTACATAGTAGTTAAATGAATTGTTATTTTCAGATCTTACTATTTAGCAAAAACTCCTTGGTAGTGTTCTTCTTTAAACATGAGCACCAACGTGGTGTGGTTCGAGTGTTGGACTATGACTCTCAAGACCAAGGAAAGGGAATCCCTGTTTGGGTTTTGTGTTAGCAGAAGAGTTCGGAAAAGCTCTTTTAAAAAAACACCACCACCAAATACCACTCTGCAAACCCCTATAGTGGCAGTGGAAAATGTGTGGCCCTTTCAAGGCTGTTTGACTGCAGATTCCATCATCTGTCAGCACTAGATATATAAGCAAGGGCTGCAGCCCAGTAGCATTTGAAGAAACGCTACACTGAGTCCCAGGTTTGCGGAAAAGGTTGGATATAAATAAATATTGTGATGATGATATTCTCCTGCCCTATCACCTTAAAGTGAACATTATGATTGGGGCTAATTTTGTATTTTGAATTTGTAGCTGAGTGACGATGTGGAGCAGGTGGCTGTAAACACT